ATGGTGGAGAAGCAGGCCCTGGGCGGCCGTCTGGATATACCGGGTCGGAGTTCGAGGCACGAGGAGACGAGACAGCGATGTCACAGGTGTAGGACTAGTGAGGGTGTCGACCCCCGAGTGTGGCTACACCCGCGACACTCTCCCCCCACACCCCAGGGCCCTCAGGAGTACCCAGAGGGGGTCTGCGCTCCCTCCTGCTGTTCCATAGTGAGGAGTTACGGTGCGCAGGCGCAGGAAACTGTGTTGAGAGAGGGGGGGGTGAGTGCAGGACTACCATGGGAGTGTCCAGGCGGCCCCTGGCCGTGGGCGTGGTGCCCCTAGCCGTGGGCGTGCCCGTGGGCGTGGTGCCCCTGGAAGCGTCAAATCGTCACTGGCCAATTAGTCAAGGTATCTCCCACACTACTAAAATTAAGGCTTATAGTACCTACGAGCCTGATAGAGCCAGCCGGCTCAAGTGCTGGTCTCTACGACCGGCTCTGAAGGCCCTTCAGGGAGCCTGCTCCTGCCTGCTCCTGCTGCCTCTGCTGCTGCTCCTGCTGCTGACACCTGCTTCTGCCCAGGGTAAGTGTTCTGCTTTATTGTGGTTGTGTTATGACTTGGTTTCTCTCCCTTTCACACATGCGGAGGCTCAGGGCAGCCAGGAGCTGGAGCTCAACCTCCACAGCCACATTTAGGTACGTACACTCACATGATAACTAGGTATAAAGATATCAGTGGCCCACATACTCACACACACACACACACACACACACACACACACACACACACACACACACACACACACACACACACACACACACACACACACACACACACACACACACAAGGGGCACACGCAAAAGGGGACACAGGTGGAAACTGAGTGCCCAAATGAGCCACAGAGATATTAGAAAGAACTTTTTAGTGTCAGAGTGGTTGACAAATGGAATGCATTAGGGGTGATGTGGTGGAGGCTGACTCCATACACAGTTTCAAGTGTAGATATGATAGAGCCCAATAGGCTCAGGAACCTGTACACCAGTTGATTGACGGTTGAGAGGCGGGATCAAAGAGCCAGAGCTCAACCCCCGCAAGCACAACTAGGTGAGTACACACACACACACACACACACACACACACACACCAACCAATCACGAAGAGAACCTTTTTGGCCGTGTCTCTCAGACAATGTTAATATGAAGTTCATTTAAAACTTGTAAGCGCGAGTGACCAAGTCTGACAAAATCATTTGCCAGAGCGCGCACTCCATCAGTGCGACCATTGAGCATTCTTGGCTCGCCGCCCCTCACTGGCTTGAGTACCAATTATGCCGTAAACTAAACTCATGCTCTCATTCTCGCGGGTAGGTACATGCTCCGTGATGTTGGGTCATTCGTAGAAAAGTGGCCAGGGTCGCTACAAAGTTGGCGTGACTGTCAAATGACCTAACCTTGACTGTCTCACGTCAACACCTTGACAGGAAGCGCCATATAACATAATAACGACCTAACAACCACAAAATTAAACATCAAACTACAAATAGCAAGACCAAAGTATCTGGAGGAATTTAATAAAGAATCCGGAAATAAATTAGACCAAGTCTACACTGATGGTTCTGCTACCCCCTACTAATGGCAGGACTGAACCAGCCCGCATTGTAATTACGAACAATGCCTTTCAAAGCGGACATGTAGATGAGAACGCAGCCCATTCAGCCCAATCACCGCTAACTGCCATTGTTATGTAAACAAGGTACCCAGAGATTAACACAAAAGCAGTGATCTTGCACTGACGCAAAAGCCGCTTCATAAAAGCTCTAGGTCAAAAAAGTAACCAGTAGAGAGTCCCTGGAGTGGAGAGAGAGCTGGACAAGTACAGAACCGGTCAGGGAAGTGGATCGAGTTGCTGTGGATTTCCTCCCACGGTCCTTATATTTTGCTCTAATGCTTCCTTTATCTCATTGGCTTTGTTAGATAGTCCATCTGCATTGGTATAGTGAGCTATTAAGGTTCTCTTGGTCCTTATCTCCTGTGTCAGGAGTGTGTGTGGGAAGGACTTGGTGTTGGGAAGTGGATATTAAATGTGTGTGTGTGTGTGGGTGTGGATGTGTGTGTGTGTGTAGTTACCTAAGTGTAGTTACAGGATGAGAGCTACGCTCGTGGTGTCCCGTCTTCCCAGCACTCTTTGTCATATAACGCTTTGAAACTACTGACGGTCTTGGCCTCCACCACCTTCTCACTTAACTTGTTCCAACCGTCTACCACTCTGTTTGGGAAGGTTGACTTCTTGTTCTTGAAGTTCCAGGTCTCAGGAAATCTTCCCTGTCGATTTTATCAATTCCTGTTACTATTTTGTGTGTGTGTGTGTGTGTGTTTACTAGTTGTGTTTTTGCGGGGGTTGAGCTTTGCTCTTTCGGCCCGCCTCTCAACTGTCAATCAACTGTTTACTAACTACTTATTTTATTTTTTTTTTCCACACCACACACACACACACCCTAGGAAGCAGCCCGTGACAGTTGACTAACTCCCAGGTACCTATTTAGTGCTAGGTAACAGGGGCACTTAGGGTGAAAGAAACTTTGCCCATTTGTTTTTGCCTCGTGCGGGAATCGAACCCGCGCCACAGAATTACGAGTCCTGCGCGCTATCCACCAGGCTACGAGGCCCCCATGTGTGTGTGTGTGTGTGTGTGTGTGTGTGTGTGTGTGTGTGTGTACTCACCTATTTGTACTCAGCTATTTGTGCTTGCAGGATTGCAGGATCGAGCATTGATTCTTGGATCCCGCCTTTCCAGCCATCGGTTGCTTACAGCAATGACTCCTGTACCATTCCCCTATTGTGTGTGTGTGTGTGTGTGTGTGTGTGTGTGTGTGTGTGTGTGTGTGTGTGTGTGTGTCCGGTGACTGGCGTTGTTGTGACTGGTCTGGTCGGTTATGCAGCTCAACCGTCAGTCAAGTTTTCTTTGTTAAAATGTTGTGAAATTTGATGTTTTGGTTACGGGGCGACGGTTCGCGTGCTGCCATCTTCTTGAGGTCATCTTGAGATGATTTCGGGGCTTTTTAGTGTCCCCGCGGCCCGGTCTTTGACCAGGCCTCCACCCTCAGGAAGCAGCCCGTGACAGCTGACTAACACCCAGGTACCTATTTTACTGCTAGGTAACAGGGGGCATAGGGTGAAAGAAACTCTGCCCATTGTTTCTCGCCGGCGCCTGGGATCGAACCCAGGACCACAGGATCACAAGTCCAGCGTGCATTCCGCTCGGCCGACCGGCTCCCTAAGAAAATAATCTCTCGGCGATTGAATCTAAAAATCTTTGGTTTAAATCGATTATAATTCAGTATTGTCATATGTACAGAGAGGTGAAGTCAAGAGCGTTCTTTGCTAAAGAAATGAGTACATTAGCGCGCTTCTAACTTCTTGTGTCGAAGCACTACGGGTGTACAACACTCATGTACTGGTTAGAAACCTGGGGCCAGATTCACGAAAGCACTTACGAACCTGTCCATCTTTTCTCAATCTTTGGCGGCTTTGTTTACAATTATTAAACAGTTAATGAGCTCCGAAGCACCAGGAGGCTGTTTATAACAATAACAACAGGTGATTGGCAAGTTTTCATGCTTGTAAACTGTTTAATAAATGTAACCAAAGCCGTCAAAGATTGAGGAAAGATGTACACGTTCGTAAGTGCTTGCGTAACTGCTTTCGTGAATCTGGTCCCTGTTCAGTACCTGTTCAGACGAGCATGGGGCTGTGGACCTCCACAGCCTCAAATCCTAGAAGAGGAGACGCCAGCAAATTCAATTTTAATAATAAACTGGAAACCAATAATTCATAACTTCACAGGAATATGCTGGGATGAATGCTAAAATAATGCCTACCCATAGCAGTGCCTCGATCGAAATTTGGACTTTGGACTTTAAAGTAGCCATAGACTACTCCCATGCAGTCTGCGCCAGGTCTGGGGCCAGATTTACGAAGCAGTTACGCAAGCACTTACGAACGTGTACATCTTTCCTCAATCTTTGACGGCTTTGGTTACGTTTATTAAACAGTTTACAAGCATGAAAACTTGCCAATCAACTGTTGTTATTGTTATAAACAGCCTCCTGGTGCTTCGGAGCTCATTAACTGTTTAATAATTGTAAACAAAGCCGTCAAAGATTGAGAAAAGATATATAGGTTCGTAAGTGTTTGCGTAACTGCTTTGTGAATCTGGCCCCAGGTTCGTAAGTGCTTGCGTAACTGCTTTGTGAATCTGGCCCCAGGTTCGTAAGTGCTTGCGTAACTGCTTTGTGAATCTGGCCCCAGGTTCGTAAATGCTTGCGTAACTGCTTTGTAAATCTGGCCCCAGGTTCGTAAGTGCTTGCGTAACCGCTTTGTGAATCTGGCCCCAGGTTCGTAAATGCTTGCGTAACCGCTTTGTAAATCTGGCCCCAGGTTCGTAAGTGCTTGCGTAACTGCTTTGTAAATCTGGCCCCAGGTTCGTAAGTGCTTGCGTAACTGCTTTGTGAATCTGGGTCTGGACACCTAAAATTCTATATTTCTGAAAAATTGCTTAAAATCACCATCACATGCCCCTGAATATTATTCGCATATGGAGCCTAGATAGTGGCATAATCCCCACACACTGAAACAGCGGGAATGACGCCACTATACAAGGAGGTAGTAAAGCAGTTAGTGGGTAATATAGAAGAGTTGTTACATTCTTGTAGAGCCACTAGTACGCGTAGCGTTTCGGGCAAGTCCTTAATCCTATGGTCCCTGGAATACGATCCCCTGCCGCGAAGAATCGTTTTTTCATCCAAGTACACATTTTACTGTTGCGTTAAACAGAGGCTACAGTTAAGGATTTGCGGCCCAGTAAATCCTCCCCGGCCAGGATACGAACCCATGACAAAGCGCTCGCGGAACGCCAGGCGAGTGTCTTACCACTACACCACGGAGACTGTATAGACCAACAGCACTAATATCACACATCATAAATATCTTGGAAGAATTGTTGGGAGATGGCAAAGCACATATGGAGTCACAACCTCTATATAAACGGGTTCAGATCAGGGCACTCTTGCCTGTCACAGTTGCTGCACCGCTATGATATGGCCTTAAATGCCATGGAAGACAAGGAAGACGCTGATGTAATATATACAGACTTCGCAAAAGCTTTCGACAAATGTGACCAAGGTATGTGTGTGGAGGGGCCTCGCAGCCTGGTGGATAGCGCGCAGGACTCGTAATTCTGTGGCGCGGGTTCGATTCCCGCACGAGGCAGAAACAAATGGGCAAATTTTTCTTTCACCCTGAATGCCCCTGTTACCTAGCAGTAAATAGATACCTGGGAGTTAGTCAGCTGTCATGGGCTGCTTCCTGGGGGTGGAGGCCTGGTCGAGGACCGGGCCGCGGGGACCCTAAAAGCCCCGAAATCATCTCAAGATAACCTCAAGAGGAAGGTATCAAGATCAAGATAACCTCAAGAAGGTGTTATTGCGCACAAAATGCGCGCAAAAGGAATTACTGGCAAAATAGGGAGATGGATCTTCAACTTCCTAACAGAAGGCAGAGTGTAATAGTCAACACAGTCATATC